GTTTTAGGGCCATCAATGGAAGAGCACGACTGAAGGCTACGCGCTATATTACACCGGTTAGAGAGTCTAGATCTACGGATTAACCTAGAAAGTGTAGATTCGGTGCTACTGAAGTCGAATTCCTTGGGTACCTTTTATCATCCGGTGTAATTCGACCATGCGCCGCTAATACTCGGGCTAGTACAGGAGCACACAAACCGAAGAATGCATCTGTTAAGAATCTTGTTTGGTCTATTCCCGTATAACATGTTATTTACCTGGTTTTGCTACCCTAGCGGATTCCTTGAGAACGTTAACAAAGGAAATGTCACCTTCGACTGGGACTCTGTACAGCAGCCTGCCTTTGAAGAAATTAAAATACGCTTCGACTCTAAACCAATGCTGGCCATTTTCGATGAAAGCTGCCCTACCTTAGTCCCGACGCATGCGCCAAACATCAGTTTAGGAGCAGTCCTGTCGCAGGTGCAGAACGTAGCGGGAAAAGTGATTTCTTATGCCTCTAGCAAATTATCCCATGCAGAGGTTTCCTACTCCGCCTGTGTCTGGACCTGTGAAAACTGGCACCTATTCCTGGTTGGTCAGAGGTTTACATTGCATACAGATCACACTGATATAACTACCCTCCTCAGTCGAGATACGAATGGACACAAGCCATTGCGGGTTAACCGCTGGTATGCGCGTTTACTGAACTACGCTCTTCAAATCATATTCCGCCCTAGCTCCGAAAACCATATGGCAGATAGCTTATCACGTTTTGCATTGGATAATTCTGAGAAGAATGAGGAGGACGAAGAAAAGGTCATGGTTTCCACTTTAAATTCATGTGAGCTTTCCGCAGTAACTTATCAATAGCTTCAATTAACTATCCAAAGTGACCCAAATGTACAAACCGTTTTCCGCCACCTCTCACAAGGCTGGTCTAAAACAAGAAGCTTAGGGATTAACTACGGGCCTTTTATAATCTACGACATGAGTTAGCGGTCCTTGGTGGTTGCTTGATGTGAGGAACGAGATTCGTTACTCCACAGAGATTAACGTCAACATTTATCCAATGTACACACAAAGGGCATCTGGGTATTGTACCAACGACGCGCCGAGTGAAAGAACATGTTTGACAGAGGCATGTGTCCGGTCTTGCGATGCGTGTCAGAGCGACGACAAGAGCTCCAAGCTGATCGGTGCACCCATCCAACCTATCGTTTATCCAATGAAACATTGGTCGAAAGTAGGGATAGACATCATGACTGATCTCCAAGTTGTCGCAAGGCTTCCGTCTCCGACCTCATAATTAACCACTTGCTGCTTATGGCCCACTTAGCGCTAATCTTCACCGAAGCAAATAGTGTAGTTCACTACTTTCTCTGCTCTCACCTAGTCATCTAAAAGGCATTTCGACTACAACACCCACTTGTCTGCTTGCCTCTGATATCTTTCCGTGCAGCTTATTTAGAGCCACTTACCCTGGCTTCATGCATGCCTTCAGACTGTTGATCTAAAATTGCCTTTGAGGCATCATGTCCACCACTGATCTGCTCGTATTCCAACCCGCTTGCTCTGCCCTCACCCTCTTATCTAAATGGTCTTTCGACGTTAAATCCCTATATATCACTTTTATGGGCTACTTACCTTCACTTCTTGCCTACTTTCATACTGCTCTTTTTTGATGGCTCCCGATGCGCTTTGTCCACCACTCGCTTCACTTAGTTTTCTCCATTTACTCTGCTCTGACCTATATCGTCTCGTGGGGATTTTTCGACCTTTCGTCATCAGGGTCTGCTTTCATCTGACGTCTTCTAACCACACCCACTTAGGGCCATCTATCTGGATGGCAAGACACCTGGTTTCTTTTCTCCTCACGTATTTTTCTAGTGGGCTCACTACCTTCTGAGTCGCATTTTTGCTTTTCTTTTCTTTACCTCCGTCGGCCTCCGCTCCACAGCATATGATTTAATCACAACTGTTTCTATTATCTTCTCCTGGTCATTCTTTTCCCAAGTAAATGTAACATATGTGTACACTTCTGTCTCTCCGTCCCACTTGTAGCGTCCATAGCACAGAGATCTTAGTCCCCTAGACGCATCATATCCACTGTTCGCCGCAAACTAGGACATATCCGTTTTTGAACCATTAAGCCCATCTGTTTGTTTACTTTAAATCTTTGCCACTTCCTTTCTTCAATCCCAAATTTGGAAAAGCTCTTCCATTCTCTACCTATCCCAGGTCTGCTTGCTTCTGTTTGGATCCTAGTAAAGTAGACAACTACAGGTTAATTTGTCTGACACCTATTTTGGTAAAGGTTGCTGAGAAAATCGCGAAAAAGAGATTGCTGCAGTTGCTACAGTCAAACGACGTCCTGACGCCAGCACAGCACGGTTTTATGCAAGGTCACTCATGCATTACGAACCTGCGTGTGACGAGGCATGAGTGCTTTAAGGCAATAAGCAATGGGAAGTCCGTCGACGTGATATTCATCGATGTCACTAAAGTGTTCGACAAGGTCAACCATGAGATTCTCCTTCACCAACTCAGAATGTGTGGTGTCGGTGGCTCACTGCACCGGTGGATCCGCGACTTTCTTATTGGACGAAAGTGGAGGGTGCAGGTCGACAAGCTTCTAACTGACTGGTACCCCTCTACAAGTAGCGTGCCTCAAGGCACTGTGCTGGTGCCCACTCTGTTCCTGATCCACATCAACGATCTACCGCAGCTTCGCCGATCGCCGTGTGCCTTGTTTGCGGACGACATGAAGATTTGGAGAGTAATTGACGCTCCCGATGACTGTGGCCTACTTCAGCAAGACTTCAACCACCTATCCACATGGTCTGCAGAAGTTCATCTCCCGGTCAACCCAGTCAAGTCTGTATTTATGCGCCAGGGGAAGGGTGCTAACGGCCGAACCTACACCCTTGACGGCCAAACGCTATATCCCACACCCTCAGTGAAAGACCTAGGTGTACTCTCACGCTACGATTTGAAGTCCGTGGACAGCACAAACAAGCTATATCGAAACGGACTGCGCATACTTTGGACGCTCAAATGTAGCTTCGGCACATGGTCTGAAGAGGTTGCCACTCGCCTCTTCTCTTCCATAATTAGACCAATGCTAGAGTACGGTTTGCCCGCCTAATTTCCGATTACCCGAGGTGAGGCACAAAAGATCGAACGGATCCAACACGTTGCTACCATGCTCATCCCGAGTTTACTTGGCTTGGGGTATGAAGACCGGTGCGAGAAACTAGGACTCTACACCTTTTCCTACCATCGGAAGCGAGTCGACCTCATTATGACCTACCGTATTCTACATCTCAGTGACTTCCCAATGCTAAGGCCAATGCTGCACCTACGAGAGCCATGCAGCACACGCGGACACAGATATAAACTTGTCGCGCAGGGATGTGAAATGTGTTCTCCACCCTCCGTGCTTCGAACAGAGAGTGGTAAACATTTGGAACAGTTTACCTGAACATGTGATTGAGGCAACATCTGTGCAGCAGTTCAAAAAGTTGTTAGATTCATATTTTTACTACTATTCGTTTCAGAGAACGATTGCACACTTACGATGACATATCACATTTGTGAGTCTTGAAATATAGTAAGGCAGATATTTTAAATGGTACATGAGAACAACAACGATATTCACGGTTGACAACTTTTATAACGTTTTTCACCATATTTCGAAAGAGTTGTACAGAATTCATTTCTACTTGCTCTATAATACAGTATTCAGTAGTATTCAGTGTTCAGAACACACGTACATGGGCTATTTAATTAATAAATTTACAATTATTGGGTTAATTAGTTCCTGCACTCTTGCAACTGATCATATTTTCAACAGCCTTCCGGATGCATCCTTGTTGTCTGTTTGTGTGGGAGTAACTATGACTAATAAAATTTTCCAGGGTGACTACCTGTAGATTAACTGCGGCTTCGGTTGCGGAACAGGATAAGCTGTAAACATAACAGCGAAGGCTCATGAGGGGTGAATATCAGAGTTACGGCTCAGCCACCGTCATGGTTCATTTGTATCACATTCCCTGAGGCCTCATTGTGAAGAAGTGGTAGTGGAACGTATGCAAATTCTGGTTACATTCCTGGCCGCCTCCACGCCGCGCCAGATGGTTAGGAACGGGGTATGCCTGTCTCTGAGTTTCTGCGAGTCCTCTAACGCTCGCAAGGCTTTGGCTAGGTCCGTCAGACCGTACCCATTGCTGCCTTGTGCCTGCATGTGTGCATGCTCCTGGCTTAGTTCTGCCCCGTTGGGCTAGAGGTCAGGTGTCTGGCATGCGTTGCATTTGTCTCTTGGTTCAAATGCTTATGCGTGACAACTCATGTGCACATCACTTGGTTCGCTGATGTTTCGGCATTGCGTTCCAGGGGTCCTGTATGTATCCGGCCTGTGTCTGCATATGTTCATACGCCTGGACCTGAATCTGTCTTGATGGGTCCGGGTCGGGTGTGTGTGTGTGCATTTGTGGGTGCATGAGCTTGGTTGATACGCGCGATCGTCGATAGCGTTGTCGGGACTATTGGCGCCCAGGTGCTGATGGATAGTTGGAGATGGTATGCTTTACTCTGAGCCAGAACACCTCATGTTTGGCTAACCTCCCTGCGTGAGTGTATTGTGGGTCAGGAAACCTGAAAGTAAGTCATTGAAAAACAGTGCCTCGAGCATTGTAACCACTCACAGTTTGAATCCCGGGAAGGTGAAAGATATTGACCTGGATGGGGAGAAAGTGAGTGCTGAAGGTGTAGTTAGTGGAGATTGTGTATGTATGCTGTGTGGTGCATCTTTACGTAGTAAAAGGGGCCTTGCGCAACATAAACCTCATAGGTGCCCGATGGAGGTCCATGAGGAACGCTTGGCAGATGTGCCCAGAAGGAAGGGAGAATGAAGCCAAAGTGGGTGTAAGATTGCGATTGAGCAAGCGGAGTATTGTTATAATCAGGGTTTGCAGAAGCAGCAAGTGTATGTTAAATTAGAATCAGCCTTCCCTGTTAGTATGGCAGAAGGGATCAAGAAGCAGTTTCGGAAGCTTGGATGGCTGTTAACCCAGTATCAAAAGAAAGGCCACGGGCCTGAGGATGGCGATGGTAAGGTGGTTAAAAGAGGGTCGCGGAAGGGGAAGGTTTTACCTGAGCCGACTGCAGGGTTCGTCCAGCGTGATGCGCCCTCCCTCTCTTTGTGGGATTCTCTTCGTTCTGGGATGCAGGTGGATCTGGAGGTGGTGGATGTGGATGGTGATAGTTTTGATGAGCTAGTTGGGCCGGAAATCTTTTTTGTAGTTGGCCCCTTGTCTAAGGATATGGTGGATTTGGTGCCACCTTCACCGGAGAAGTCTCTGCCTAGTGGGAGGCAGGAAGAATGGTTTGATTTAATGATTGACACTGTTGTGCAAGGGCATGTGGCTAGTCAGGAGCCGTGGTTGCGGTCGGACCTTCTGCTGGATTTAGCTTCAAACCTCAGGGCAGGGCTTGTTAACTTACGGAAAGCTCAGTCCAGTTTTGAAGCTATTTTATGCGTTTGCTTTCCATGCAGGTGGAAGAGTAGAACGAAGGAAGTGGCTCAGCCGGCATTTGGACAGAGACATATTAGAAAGGTTAATTACGCAAAGATCCAAACGTTGTTCCGGAAGAAGTCAAAGGATGCGGCGAAGTGTGTGTTGGCCGGCACCTGGCGAGAGGCGTACAAATTGGACGGGGGTCTACTTGTGGGTGATTTGGAGTACTGGAGGTCCATCATCCAGACGCCGGGTAAGGAGGATTGTAGACCTGTGGAGCAGCTTGAGGAAAACTATGGCCTCCTCGGGCCAGTAGGTGTAGCAGAGATTGGCGAAGTGCTCCGTAAGAATCATAATACTTCTCTAGGGCCGGATGGCGTTACCTTTAGTATGCTCCGGCGTGCTCACTGGAAGGTTTTAGCACAGGTTTTCAACGTAATGCTATCGTTAGAGGCACCAGCAAATGCGGTAACGTTGGCCAGGATCTCCTGATCCCGAAGTGTATGGGTCCGCAAAATTCTGTGGAGTATCGGTCTTTGGCGATGGCTTCGGTGGTTATCAGAACGCTCCATACGATTTTTGCCACGCGTTGGAAGACTCAATGGCGAGTTACATCGCTTCAGGAGGCACTTCAGAAAAGAGACGGCTGTCTGGAAGCGACAAATGTGCTGCACTCCCGGTTGCCTACGGTGCATGGACAGGTGGCTAATGCTGCGGTTGCATTCGCGGATGTGGCTAAAGCGTTTGATACGATCCATAATACGGTGCTTCGGGTAGCGCAGCTGAGTGGAGCCGCAGCACCATTACTTCGCTAGCTTCGGAAGTTGTACGTAGAGTCAGAGATGTCGTTGGAGGGAGCGAAGTTTAAGTACGGTAGGGGTGTGAAACAGGGGAGCCCCAGTCTCCACTCCTTTTTATTATGTTAATGGATGATGTGTTCTATCTTTCAGGCATAGGGCTTGATGAGTCTGTGGCAGTAGGCAAACTTACCTGGGCGCTTGCTTATGCAAATGACTTGGTCCTGGTCACCGACAGTACTGCAGATTTTCATGCTAGGTTGGAAGTCCTAGAAATGGAGCTGTTGTTGAACACGTCTAAGTGTAGAACGTTAAGAAAAAGGAAGTTAAGCAAGCAGGTGACAGTGCTTGAGCCTAGGGAGCACCAGGTGAGGGAAGCGGTTATACCAGCAATGACTGTTGATGAAGAATTGCGATACTTGGGCCTCCTTTACACTTGGAAGGGTAGGTCTGCGCTTGAAAGTACTTGTAAATTGGAAGGTATGATTTCCGAGATCAGCAAGGCGCCACTGAAGCCCCAACAGCGGTTGAGAGTCCTTTTTGACTTTGCGTTGACTAAACTCCAATACAGTATACTTGTCTGCAAGGCCTATCGCAATACACTAAAGAAGCTTGACAGGATGGTGCGGAAGGCGATCCGAAGATGGCTACGGTTGCCCAAAGATGTCTCCTTGGCCTTCCTCTATGTGGCTCGGCTAAAGGTGGTTTAGGCGCTCCGAATCTTGTTATCATGGTGCCCATGTCACAGGGAGCTATCATCATCATCATCAACAGCAGTACATCAGCCATTTGAACTGATGCTTCGCTGCCATCCAACCATGAGGACCCATGAAATAAAGAATAAGAAGAGGGAGAGAAGGGGGACTTACCTGAAAACCTTAATGCCCTAAACAAACATTCAGGGTCAAGGCGCCTACACCTTGTGTCAACAACATATCGTCACAAACAGCTGGCTATCGTGCAAAGATAAGGCGGCATCGGCGAGACAGCTTCCTTGCGGCTTTCACTGCCAAGCGTCATAATCAGCCATTATATGGCAGATTACTCAGCACCAAACACACTTTAAACAGGCAATCCGATTAGGAGACGGCAGTAGACGCGCCACTGGTGTCGGTTGCCAGCCATGTCCTGTAAAGTCTCGAGCCAAGCACAAGGTGAGTCACTTGGACTCCAACCCGGAAGGCGAGACGGACCAACGGCGCCCAGTTTGGTCGTCAGTGACTTCATTCCCCGCTGCCAAGTCAACTTCTGTCCACCTCGAGCCTTGCGCAATCCTACACCTGGCAGACTAAACAAGGCCCTCCTAGGTAAGCGGTGACCAGGCATGCGTAGCACGTGCCCGAGCCAACGCAACTTATTCAGTGCTAGCTGTTGTTCTAGGGAGCTAGCTTGGTTATCACCACCTAGTACTCGCCTACGCACATCATCGTTGCGGACACGCTGGTGCCATCCGACACCAGCAATGCTTCGCAAACAACGATGATCAAAAACTTTAAGGTGCCTCAGATCTTCAGACCGAAGGGGCCAAGTTTCACTACCATAGAGCAGAACGGCCCACACTGTGGCCTTGTATACACGGCGTTTCAGACGGAGGGAAACTCCCTTCTGTCGCCAAAGATGACGCAGGTTCAAGAAGGCAGCTCTGGCCTTTGCAATACGTGAGCTCACGTCAGTTTCTATGCGCCCATCATTGCTGATGCAGCTGCCAAGATACGTGAAATGAGCAACCACCTCGAGTTCCTCGTTAGCAAGCGTCAAGGGGTCATCAAGTGGCTGGTGGTCCTGCCACAACACTTTGCACTCGGAAGGTGCGAAACGCATACCAAATAATGGGACCACTCTGGATAGGCTATTCATGGTTGATTGTGCCGCCTCAACATTGTCGAAAAGCAAGACGATATCGTTCGCATAATCTAGATCAACTAACCGTTCACGAGGGAGCACTTTTAACGCCTACATCGTGAGATTCCGCAAGGGAACACTCCATGATAGAATCCACGACGAAATTGAACAAAAACGGGGAAATCGGACAACCCTGACGAACGTCACTTGTAGTCGAAAAGCTATCAGATAGGGCACCATAGACCCTGACGCGGCCTGTAGTGTTCGAGTATAGAGCACGAAGGATGTTCACATATTTCGTGGGAACACCTTTTCGCGCAAGTAATTCGAACAGAATTGATCGATCGACTGAATCGAACGCACCCTTGAAATCGAGGAACACAGCTATTGTCGGTCTGCGGTATGCGTGGCGCTGCTCTAGCACCTGCCGCAAAGTAAATATATGGTCTATACAGCCACTTCCTGGGCGCAAACCGGCCTGCTCTTCCCGAATCCGAGATTCCCGTTCTGCAGTGAGGCGACGAACGAGAATCGAGGCCAGTAATTTTGTCACAACTGGTGTTAGGTTAATACCCCTGTGGTTCGCACAGTCTGTGCGACTGCCCTTTTTGTATATTGCCACTATAATCGATTCGCTCCAATTAGCCGGCACACTCTCTTCGTTTCGTAGGATTCTCTCCTCTGCTGAGGAGTGAATACGTATCTTGATTCACCATGAGACGGTGCAGAAATAAATGAAGGTGGTCAACCTACCTATCAGGGTAGGGGCAGGAGATGAGCTCCAAGAAGGAAGGTAAGGTATACTGGTTGTGGAAATATATGGAGGTACATGATCTACAGGGCACTTGCCCTTGGTTGCTAGACAAAGCTAGTTACATTTGGGTGCGTATGCTGTGGGAGTTTCCCCAGGCGCTACATTAGGTGTTTGAAGTTGAGAGCGGGTGTTCTACCTTCTAATGTTAGGTCGAGTCGTGGAGACGCGCAAACGTAGGGATCTTCTGTGTCAAGGACACAGTGGGAACCATGAATCGGTCGCACCTATCCTACCGATGTGTACCATCAGCCACGCCGCCCGCTATGCTCGTCACAATAGGGTAATCAGAAGGGTTGCGTAAGAAAGGCTACCAAGCCTGGGTCAAGCCTAGTATAGCGAAGGCAGACAGCTTCTATAAGCCTGATTTGGTTATTGACTAACCTAATCAGATGAGGCTGATTGACGTCAACTTAAGTACTGATGATAAGATAGGGGCCTGGTGCGTTGAGAAGGCTCGTAAATACCACCACACAGAAGTGAACGCAGGCGTACTGAGCCTATCTGTTATAGCGTAGGTAAGCATACTCCACCACTCCCCGTTATTTTTTGAGTTTTATTACACTCACCCCTATTCACCCCGTCCTCTCTAACCGTTCCCCACATATGTTTTCGGTTACCTCACCTTTGTGACTAACTTGGGTTGACACGGAATCTTACGCTTAAAGGCTTTTCCTTACTCTGTACATTTCGCTCTTTCGTGAGACACCGGATCGATCCTTCGTCCCTGGAATGACTAGCTTTGATTGATCGATTGTCAGCCTTTCTGCACAGCCTGTGATATGCCCTAATTTGAATCATGTGATTGCGTTGCACACACAGACGCTTGCTGGCCGGTTTGGCGTGCGGCATGAACATTGTTGCCCTGCCTGATGCGCAGAGGAAGCTCACAGCTGTGCATATGTCACTTATTCTTACAGAAGGTGGGTGCCTTTACTAGCTTTCCGGAATACGCCTCCGTAGGTTAGGTGTTACTGAAAGGGATATTTCGAACCTGTGCCTGTTGACGGTGCAGGGATCGTTAGCTTGTTTTGATGTTTATATGATGGGTACTGGGGGCATAAAGTAGGTAGATGTGATGCATGTATATGTTTGTTTGTAGGAATGTATTTGGCACGAAGCTGATGGTGTACAAATCCATGGTACTGTCCGTTCTTCTATACGGCGGTGAAACGTGGACGATGTACCGTCGGGATGTGCGATATCTCGAGCGGTTCCATCAGCAGTGCCTGCGACGAATTTTGCGGATCAGCTGGGGCGACAGAGTTGCAGACACGGAAGTTTCGCGCCGAAGTGGGATGTATGCAGTGGACTGCATACTTTTACTGCGACACCTGAGATGGCTCGGTCATGTGAGCCGTATGGATTCGACGCGAATACCGAAACAACTTTTATACGGTCAGCTGAGTACTGGGAAGCGACATGCTGGGAAACCAAAGTTACGTTACCAGGATATGATTAAATTGAGTCTCACACGTTCTAACCTTGCTTGCAGATCATGGGAATCGAAGGCGGTTGATCGTGGTGCATGGCGCGATCTAATCGCGAAGGCAGTTGCTGAAGTGCTGGAGGAAGCCCTCATGCATGCAGAGAAGAAGCGGCAAGTGCGGAAGCGGCAAGCACCGATGGGTTGTACTCCATCGACATCGAGCGCATGGTGCTGTAGAACATGCGGTCGCGAGTGCCTTAGTCAGGCAGGCCTAGTAAGCCATGAGAGAGGTCACTCGGGACCACTGCCGAAGCGACGACGGGTCCCGCAGTGAACGTAGGCAGCACCGGCGCAGCGTTTGTAGGCACGCTGAATTCGATTTACTAACCGCGTGCTTGCATGCTAAGTCTCTTGATTTCAGGTGGTGGGTTTTCAAGTTTGTCTTAATGCGTTTCTTTCTCATATAAATGTATACCTGTACTCTATTCCATTAACTTGCACACCTCGCTTAAGCCAATGGTATTCGATTTCCATAACATTTTTATGTTCGTGGCAGTTCCGTATAGTGTATGTTCTCACCTCATGAACTTATCTAGGATTTGTTTGTAAACAA